CTCGGGGCGGGGGGGCGCGGCTGCGTCAGCCTGCCGGTGGGGACGCAGCTGGAGCAGGGGACTGAGTCCCAGGGACATCACAAGCAGCCATCCAGGCACCTGGAGCTGTACGAACAGGGGAGGAACTGCTCCCCTCCACAAAAGCTTCCTCCCGATGCTGCTGCTCTGTTCCACGCCCTCTCCATCACCCTGCAGGAGCTGCTCTGTGCTGGCAGTTGTGGGGGCTGGTTCTGATGTTTAGCCCCACTCTTTTAAAATCTTGCTTGGCTGCTGTGAAGGCACGAGGCCCTGCCCGATGTGGAACCCTGCCTGCTAACCTAGAGGTAAAATCTGTGCTTGTGCCTCTGTCCCACGGAGACTTTGCTCTCAGCAGGGCGAGGTGGTTGCCCTCTCCCCTTGGCAGAGACGAGAGCCTGCTGCTCTTGTTCCCTGAGGGCAACCAGCACCTCAGCTCTACCTCAAATCTCTCAGGGTGCAGCAAACATTACAGGGCCAGCAGGCTGCTTCCATCCCACTGTCTCTGTCCTTGTGCCGTTGTCTTGGAAAGGGGAGCTCTTCTGGGGTCGGAGTCTGAGCGGGCACCCTGAGGACTCAGGGCTGGGAGAGCAGGGTGACCAGCAGGCTCTTGACATGCAGGACGCTGGTGGCAGTGCTGAGGCTGGCCCAGGTCGCACTGGTGGGCAGGAGGAAGAAGTCCCGCTGGCCACTGAGTGTGTGCAGGGCCAGTTCATCGTGCAGCTCCTCCGTGCTCAGGGCATCGCTCTTGTCCTGCAACAAGAGGGGGAGGACTCGGTTCAGGAGAGCCATGGATGTCCTGCTCACCCGTGGCCGTTCCTGCAGGCTGCCACCAGCATGGTGGCCAGGACCATCCTGGCTGACAGGATGCCCAGTCCTGACAGAGTCTGTGCGCAGACAGGGCCTCTTTCCTCTTTCATTTGAGTCACTTCAGTGCAGAATAATAGGAAGCAGCGGCAGGCACGCGCTTGGCCGCTTGCCCGGATAATGTATTTCCCCTGTGGGTCTTTGTGCACTGCTGTGTGCCCGGGTGCTTTCCCGAAACTCATTAGCTGACGCAAAAGGAGCGGCTCCCGCATTGGTAACGGCAGGCTTCCCCTCTA